TCACAAACAGGGCATCGCAGAACTGCCAAATGGAGAAGTGGAGGTGCTGGGACTCGAGTTGGTGCCACCCTCACCATGTGAACTGCTCAACTGTTCACAGTTCTGAGACTGCTGTGTTTATAGAAACACTTTCCTTTTCTTAACTTCTGGAGGGAGACTTGTTAAGAACCTATTTACTCTTTACGGGACAGGAAAAAAGCTCTAGCAATTGTTCTGCTACACATGTTAAGTTGCAGTTATGCTGAATTCCAATGGAGAAATCAAATCATCAGCCTGTGTTTAAAATTCTGGTTCTACCTTGTATTGAATGTGTCTATTATAATACCCTTTCTTCTTGCTCTCACACACAGCAGGAGTTTTTTACAGTCCATTTCACTAAAGCATCCTGGAGAAAGCTGACCTCCTGGCCTTATTTAAACTGTGCTCTTCAGGAGTACTCTTCTCATTTCACTGGTAGATGAAATGGGCAGCAAGGGGCACACACAGCCCACATCCTTATGGAAGAATTAGGATTGTGCCATATCCCTGCATAGTCCTGGCAACTTCAGCCAATAAATGTACAATGACAGGATCCTTTTAGGAAGCTTTATTTTATATGTTCCCAAAAGATATTGCATCCATAAGAATTTACTGAGGAATCCCAAGAGAACAGCCACGATGTGAATGACTTCAGACAGCATCCTACCTCATGTCATAGCAGAGGAGGTTGTGCAAACACATCACTACCAGCACTGCTGGCACAACTGCAATAGGTTACTTGACAAGAAATGCATTTTTGTCATTCATCAGTCATTGAATTCCTTTAATGTAAATGTGAGCTCACTCCTAATTACAAATAGATGAATGAAATACAGAATATTAAAGAAAATGTTTCTCTCAGAGAAACGGGCTAATGGACTTGTAGTTTTCAGGAATACAATGAACCTGTCCTGAAAGAGTTTCTTCTTCTGGGGGGTGGGGGGGGGATCATGGGAGGAAAGCTGGATACTCCAGAGCACAGTCTGATTTTTGTTCAAATATACAGGTAGGGATGAACACAAACGTGGATGTTGGCTTGTGGTTATAACAGGATCTGATTTTTCTGGGCTTCCAATGCTCTGAATGTGTTTAGAAAGATTTTTATTTTTTATTTTTTCCCCAGACTTCAGAAAAAGTAGATATGCTACTATTGTTTTTTTTCCTTTTCCCCTCTTTTCTGCCTTGTAATCTTCACTGCTATTTGATTTGGTTTTCTGCCCAGATAGAAAAATTAGAGTTTTCATCTAGACAGAAGAACTTTACTCTTTCAGGAGGCAGTTATTTAAAGCAGAACGTTGGAACAACATTTATCAGTGTTATGTGGACTACTCACCCAGTCTAGGTACAGTCAAAATTCTCTTGTTCCTTACCTGTTACTTAGGACCAGAGTAAAATATGGTCCCTCTCAGTGAGTGTTTACAGCCTGATTTAAAACACTGTTCACAGTAATGCTGCAAAATGCATCTTCCTGTACAGCTTTAGGCTGCTGCCACCTTGCACAGACATGGCTGCAAAGGCTCCTGATTTAAATTCTCCCCACTGTATGTGAGCTGAGAACTGCTGCCTGGATGCATGGAAAACCTCAGGGATACAGGGAATGCCTTTCTGACTGAGCACTCTCTTATGGTTAACTCGTGCAGTACTTAAAGCACTGCCATCACAAGGTTATATTTTGGGTCTGGTTTATAGGATAGGCCTATTTTTTTGGAACATCCATTGTATGTGGATGATTTTGTTTCAAGGAAGCTAGGGTGAGGAGGATGGATATAGCCAGATGAATCCCTCAGCTGAATTTCTTTAATGTGGGATTTTTTGTGTACTTGAAAACAAACCAACTGCCCTTAATTATTGTTTCCTTAACAAGCAAAGTGGTTTAGATGTACAGTGTATCAAAGCAGCTGTTGAGAAGGCTCTGATGTGTAATAGCACAAGAAGGCAGGATGGCAAATAAAGCTTTCAATAGCATGAAAATTATTGTAGAGATAAGGGGAAAGAAGATGAGAAGGGTGTTGGGAAACAGTGAATTGTAGTATTGTTGTTAAGAACATAAAGCTGTATTTTCAGAGGAAAAATACTGAGGAGCTAGAGGAACTGAACATCTGAAGAATATTCTTTAAGAAAAGACATAATATCAGAGGGAAAGAGTTGCATTTAATCGGGAAAAGCCGACTTTATTGGCATTTAGTGAAAAACTTGTTTGTGAGCTACATCGTGGGTTGATTTACATCCTGTGCCACTTACTAAAGGCACTAGGGTTTCACAGGATGTAAATTAGACCAAATACTGTGTCCTGATTTAGTGAGACAAATTAGTTTTGTTGGAGATTTGAAGGCATTTACTGTCCTTGATGAGAACAGCCTTTGGAAAAAGGGGAGTGAGCCTCAAGCAAGGCTGGAGGTGATGTGAAGGTGCAAAGGGATGTTGAGTTAGCAGGACAGAAATACTGCAGTACAAAAGGTCAGTGTTGAGGGCCTTTTCCATGGCTGAATGAAGGCAAACGAGGCATTCCTAAAGTCAGGAGTCACTAGAGTTGTAGCAGAAACATAAGAGATGGTTGCAATTTGCTGGCAGTTATTGGGAGCATTCAGGTATCTACTGAAAAACTAGAGAAGACTTTAGCTTCTTTTCTCTTTATATAGGTGTGTACTGAAGGCAAGCAGAAGGATTAACTTGTTTAGGCCAAATCATCCCCTGCTGCAGATTTAATTGAGATCAGCAGAATGTCGCCGCTTCCAAGTGAGTTGTGCAGATTTACACCAGTGCGAGTTTGGAACTCAGCCTTTCATCTCTATATTTTTCTCAAATAAATAGTCCAAAGTTAGACCACAGACTTGAAAGATAAGTCAGGAAAACACACCAGAATATTAATGCCCTTGTTGGAATGATTTGTATTTTGCCTCTCAGAGAAATTTGGGTGGAAAATGCAGCAAATGAAAAAAGTAATTACTATATTATTAAAAACACCAGCAAGCACCCTAAAACCTGCAGCTGGATTTCTACTAAAAATTAAAGATGTTGTGAAGCTGGATCTGAAGCTCTGAAAACTATTATGCAAAGAGAAGTGTAAATCTTAAGGCCAGTATAGGATGACAGTTTAGTCAATAGCAGGTGAAAAATCAAAATGAGAGTGCTGTGAACTTCACAGTGAGGCAAAATAATAATACACATTTATCTAGCACTTAACATTTCCAAATTGTATGACCATAAAATAATGCAGAAAGTTGCACTGATCTTGGATGCATGGAAAGGAAGAAAGGCCATAGCATATTTCTAGAGCCTCTGCAGCCATGAACAAGCTGATGTTAAACTGGAGGTCTGCATTAGAGAAACACTGTGACTAAGGAATTATGGATAATTTTAAAAAGTAAGAAGGAAGGAGTGCTTTCTATCTGGATTTAATAAAAAATAACATGTACTGGGATTAGATTGAGCAGCCCTTGGAAAACAAAGTGATTGGTGTTTGAGACTGAAATGGAGGTAACTGGCATGTTTTAAGAGAAATTGGCAAACAACAGAATATGTCTTTCTGAACTAAAAATTAACTGTGCTGTTTAAAATTGTTTTAAAGACATTTAAGGAAATACACTGGTGAAGAGCACCCATCATCCTGAGGTACTCAGTGTGTGTTTGCCCACCAGCCCCTCCTGCCAGGGCCCCCCGTGCCCTGCTGGGGGGCACAGGGCAAGGAGGGACAGGCAAAATTGACCCTCTTCATCAGCATCCATGGAACAGCAGCTGAAGGCCCGGGGTCAAAATGTCCACTGCCTACAGACTGTATTATGCCTCGTGCTCATGTACAGACTTGATTGTGGGGGAAAAATCTGAACAAAATGGTTTTGATCCATCCAAGTAATTAGAGATGTGACTGATCTCCCTGGGGCTAATTCTGTATATGAAGTTCAGTGTATGCCTAGAGCGTTTCCTGAATACATTCAGAAAGTTCATTCACTCTTAAACTTGAGAAATAAATCAGGGTAAAAGCACAGTAATTGGCAGCTCTTAGGTTTGACTTGCTTTCTGACATCGCCAGTTGACTTCACTACAGGAGGAGGGACGAAGGCAAGACCCAAGTTCTCAGAAAAGGGACTGTGTTCAGAGGGCTCTGTGGTGAATTTGTACATTTGCAGTCTCAGACAAATTCATTTTTGTAGTTGCCAAATGTGAGGGCTTTTCATAAGCACCATCTGTGGAATGAAAGGCAATCCAGGCTAAAATGTGCACAGTTGCAAATATTAGAAAATACGGCTATTATAAAAAGTCATAAGAACTTTATGCAAATGTTCCATCTCCAGTGGAAGGGCCAGATTCCAATATCACGCATGATGCACAGGAACAGATTTTTCTTAGGTATGCCGGGATGCCCACACTGCGCCTGAGATTAGAATCTGTCCCAAAAATGGATTATTGGGATATGAAAGAGCCAATGATGAGGAAAATCAGATTTTACTGAGCTGTTTTTTTTTCTCTCCCTTACTCTGTGAGAGTTGGCTTTCAGCATAGTTCTTGATCTTTGTAATTCATTAGGAAAATTGGCAATAAAAATAACGACAAAATGTAAAAACTAATTTTCCTCTTTAAGAAATTCACATCATCAAATTAGGACAGAGAAGTGATCTCTCTACACCCAGTTGCTCAGAGCAACTGGCAAATTTTGACTCCATGGAGCATTACCTGAAGCAAACAACAGTGACTCCATTACCAGGGGATTTCCCTGGGGTGGTGTTATCAGGGACTGGTAGCAGCACAGTTCTGGTGGTGTGGAGGTTGCATGCAGGTTAATTTACTCTGCAAATCCCATTATCAGCAGATCTTCATTTATTTAAATCCCGAAATTATTATCTTTATTTCCCCCCCATATCCAAATACTGTCTTTTGTTCTTGTCTCTTTGGGGAGGAAGTAAATGGGATTTGGATACAAGCCATAATTATTCTGGGAAAATCACCCTGCAGCATTGATTTATATGCAAAATTTTGCCTTGCAGCAGCTTGACAGCTACGCAAGACTAAGAAGGCAAAGGCTACAGAGCAGAAGGCTCTTAAAAGCAAAGGCTTCTTAAATGAAATATTGGTGGTCCTCATCTCTTGTCTTCAGTTCTCAGTGACCCAGGGTTAGCAAGAGAAGTTGGTACAGCTATTCCATTCTCATCTCCAGAGTAACCCAGCACAGGCCAGGTAAGAAAATCTCCTTGGATAGGGGATGTTTGATTTTCTAACGTGGGTTGGTGAGGGGTACAGTGAACCAAGCTCCCATTCACTGCCCAGGGGCAGAGCTGAAGGAGCCCTGCAAACACTCCAGAGTTAGAAAGCTCCTCATTACTCCTTCAACATTGAGCAGCAGCTGCAGCATGTTTCCATGGTTTTGGATTAAGAGATGTTTTCTTGGAATGCTGAGGGATGTCTGATGTTTTGAAGTTTAGAGTGCTCCTAATGACTTCCATGAAAATCACAATATCAGTTGGTTCTGAAAATTAGGCCCCTGGTCTAAACGGCCAGGTAGGAAGGAAAGGACCAGACCCCTCAAAGTGTTTTGTTGGATCATTATGGTATATAAAACAACTGATCCCCAGTTTTGCCTAGCCAAGGCTGGAGCCACGCTTCCTCTGAGGGCTGCCTGGAGCTGCAAACCACCAAGCTCCCTCTGGCAGCAGACTCCTCAGAGCAGCAATTAAGGAATCCTCCTGATGAGGCTTTGCCATCATTGTGAACGCATTGTGAAAATCTTTTCAGGCAGAGTGACAACTTCTGAAGTCATGGGGCAATAAGGACTGGAGCAGTCAGTGCTTCACTCATCCCATACAATCACCAGGAGCAGGATCTTTTCCAGGAATAAGTTCCTTTTCTGTTCCTTCTGCCTTCTCTGTGGCCCTGATTTACCTTTTATCTTCTGAGCAGCAGAGCCTGGTTTTCTCTGTACCAGCAGGAAGCATCCAGGTGGTTCTTCCTCCTCTCTCCTCATCCAGGCAAATTTCTACCAAAGAAACAAATAAAAAATAATTACAAAAGCTTGGAGCTTCATTAAAAGCATCTCAGATTTTAGTAACCCAAGTATTGGCCTGCTATTTTTCAAGCTTTTTTTCTAGATGATGGTGATAGCTGAGTGTCACATAATTACAGCAATTGGTTTATTTTTAACCAGAAAAAAAATTTATCTTTATTTTATACTTGAAAATTATTACAACTTTTTTTAAATCTTCCAATAATTCAGGTGAGGGATGTATGCGTGGTACTAAATTGCTAGGTAGAAGAGTTTATAACAGGAAGCAGTAGACCAGCCTGTTTTTATCTAGGGAAAGAAGTAATCTCTTTGACTTTAAAAGAAAAAAAATGAAATAACACAAAGTAAATCCGGAGGGGAAAAAATCCTGCTGAAATCAAACTCTTATTGATTGGCCAAACAGCAAAGTGCACACTCATATCCGTCAAAAAATAATTTCAGGCTAACACAAATTTATTGAAAACATCTGCTCCTCTAATTAGCATACTAGGTCTTTATCATCCTTACTTGTTCAAAATTCCAGACTGCTTCATTACAACAGGAGGTATTGTGATGCAGAAAAGTTCAACCAGGATGAAAAAGCAGCTATCACTGTTGATTTTTAAAAAATAAAATATTAAATCTGAATATATTTCTGTGTTTTATAGTAACAATAAAAATATTGTAACAATAAAAATTAGAAGTATTATTAGGTCATATATGTCAGGAACAACACAAAGTACAAATCTACAACAGAAGTTTCATCTAATAATAAAATTTCAACTCTTTTCTAGTTGTAAATATTTGAAAAGTATCCATTAGCCCCTCCAATTCCTCTTTTAATGGGGCATTTTGGAAAATGTTCTGTTTGATTCTCAGAGTGTTTTTTATACTGCCTGTGAAATACAAATCCCAGAGCCCAGCCTGTTAACCAGCAGCCTCTGTTTACTGTGAAATCCTGCCATGGTGATAAACACATCTCTGGGTGAATTGTCACTGTGAACAGAGCAGGGCAATGGGACACCACGACATGTAGCCAGCTCAATCCCTTCTGTTTTGTCCTGCATATTATTCTTCTGGATTGTATCAAGCTCTAGACTCTGGCTTTTAGCATTTCAGCTACTTGCTGATCTAGAACGTTGCCAAATATGGATACTTTTGAGTAAAGGTGAAAGCAACTTCGCAAACAGAGATATGAAGTTGTGCCATTTAGGTCTGCACAGCCCTGTCTCAGCGGGGACAATGAGGAATGTAACAACGGCTACACAGGGGAGAAAAATGTGTCTCTGCTCAAACCAAACCTCAGCCAGCATCTCAAAAAACCTCACTGTGGACAAAGTGAGCTGAGCCAAGGAGCTGCTGAGATCTGTATCATCTCCTCTGATGACTGAGTTTATTTCTGTAGGCAGGTCATGTAACATGGGTCAAACTCTCCTTTGTTGTAAACCCATGACACTTCATGTGTTTCATTGTACATCTGAGGAATTTAGACGTATTCAGCTGAGGAATTTACCCAAATTCTGTCTCTGGAATATGCCAAGCTGGTGAATGAACTCAGAATTATCCCTCCAATACTATAGGTTCACAAGACATTTTGGACTTTGGAAATTAAAACCTGCTACCAGGCTGATAAAAAGGACTCCTTGACTCCCACGCTACTGCTTTTAAGAATAATGCCAATTTAATATTGAGTAGGGATATGTCACTCTGACACTAAATGAGTACAAATGAGAAAAATATTATTACCAGTAAGCACAAAGATATGTTCCACCATTGTTAACAGAAAGACAAGACTGGTTACATTTATGACTGTTTCCTTTCAGAGCTCTGTCAGGGATATAATTTCAAAAACTTTTTGTATGCTAGGTGTTCTGTTGTGGGGTTTTTTCTCTTTCTCTAGGCTTGCACAGATTTCAGACTACTTCGCTTAAAAGAAAAATTTATTCAATGTGAAATATTCCTTTAGATTGAGTCACATCTACTCCAGTAAGAAAATTTGTGCTTAATAGCATCTCTTGTTATTATCAGTTCTTTCTGAACAATGGGAACTTTTTTTTTACTTTCTGCAGTAATTCTGTTTATTGAGAGTTATGTTATTTTAAATTATTGTTCTGTCACTTGGGGGAAGGGTCGTCAGTAAAAGAGAGACAATCTATTGGTGTTGCACATGCAAACTCACCTTTGCTGAGGCTATGGGTGACACTGCACAACTCTGAATGTTCTTGAACTGTTGCTGTTGGGGTTGGTATTAAGGGTAGATATAAGGCTCTTCTGGGGCAAGAGAAATTTATTTCATTGCCTTTTCCAAAAGTTACTGCTTTTGGGAGTGGAGCCTGGGGGATGGTGGAGCCAGAAGCCTGCTTTATTCTTTGTTGATGGTATCAAGTTTTAAAACAGTCACATCTGACCATAAAAAAATACCCTGTGATCAGTATATTACTGCAGTTCTTGGACAGTGTAACTGGTAGTGGAAGCACACTGCTGGGACGTCTCTAAAGCATACCCACTGTGACACGCAGATAAATCCCATGGCATGGGGAAGCTGAAGGAAAGTGTCAGACTGCATTTATTTTAACTTTTTCTTCTGTGCAATTCAGTTGAGCTAGTGGAAGGAATGACTGCTCCAGCATCCCCTTCCAGCTGCGGATTTCTTACTCCCAAAGGCCTCTCCGGGACAGGGAGCAGTGCAGCAGGAGGTGCTAAAAGCCACTAATTAGGACTGTGATTAACAGATAAGGGTACATGAGAAATCCTCTCCTCCTTCGGGATTTAAACACACTATTTCAGCTGTAGTTCCTGTCAGCATTAAGTCCAGTATTACCCTCCTCGGATATTGCCTAGAAGTAAAACTGTAGTATTTTTAACAGTAGAGCATTTTTTGTGCAGCTGCATGGAAACTGCAAGGGAATTGGCTGGTCAGACTCACCTCTGTCTGCTGTAGCTGCTTCTGCTGTTGGAGGAAATGAGGATTCAGGGATCATCTGGCAGAGCTGTGCAATGGAGAAGGGCTTTTGAAAGCAGCCAAGTTTGCCTTTCAGGAGGAGAGAACCTGAGTGGAACTTCAGGGACAGAGATTCTGCATGGTTTGACGTCATTTAGGAGAGGTAGCTGGTTTCATCAACAGCTCCCAGACCTTTGAACAAAGTTTTAAGGGAAGGAAGGCACTTCAGCCCAAAAGATCTGGTAGCAGGAGAGCTGCACACTTTGAGATGTGAGCAATACCTTGCAAGAGGTGCAACTCCTAGCAAAATGCAATATTTGGATTTGAGTATAATTCTGAGAGGAGAAAATTGTAATTTTTAATTGGATGGTAGACAGTTTACTGACAATTTTAGGTAGGAAAAATAATGTCCTGCAGAGATAAAAAAATAAATGAGACTGTGCTGCGTAAGGCTTGGCTAAAGGGAACCCATTGTAGGAAGAGAAAACTGAAGTGATAGTTATCTTAATCCATTACTAAAATGTGTCTTTAATATTTTCATATATTGCTTTCTTCTTCTTGACATCCCCATTATTTGTGCTGAACACACTTGTGATGCTCAAAGCAACACCTCAGCCTACCAGGGTTGGAGGAGGGGAACTCCAAAAGGTTAGGTGGATGAGAAGAGAGATTTCTTTTTGTTGCTGTGGCAAAGCTGGTGCCAACCGTCCTGTTCTCTGCTCATTAGCCTTGGTGAGGGCTTATTAAGCACTAGGCAGGGCTCGCAGCGCTCCTGCACTTCGGGAAGCAGCGCTCCAGGGGGAGCCTGCACACGGCACCGGGGAGCGATCAGCTGAGAGAAGCTATCAAACCCCGATGCCTCATTTCCAGAACTGAACTAATCCTAATAATACCTGTTATAGAAGTGTCGCCTTCTTGATCTATTTATTTTCTTATTCCAGTGGGGGAATAACCCTGGCTTTCTCGTCATTCCTAGTGGTGGGTCAGGTATGCAGTTAATGCAGCATACCTAACTGAGGGTTGAGCCTAATTTACTCCAGTTCACAACTGCAGCCCCTCTTGATTAGGAGGGTGACTTTGTTCTTATTTTGAGGCCTCTGATTATAACATTTCGGCTCTCCTTCCTGTAATCTGAAGGTTTGGATCAGTGCTTGGCTGGCCGTGCAACCGTATAGTCTTTGCAAGTTGGAGTGTGGTGGTTTTGTTCTCTTAGGTACATGGGGGATTTTTGACGAAAAAGAAAACTATTTGTATGTTTTATGGAGGCACTCTGCTGCCACTGAACACAGTCTGGATGAACATTTGAAAATACCAGAGAACTGACAGGGTAAATCTGCAGTGCTAAGAGCTTTTCACTGTTACAGTTTAAATTGTTGCTTATAACTTTGAGAGCCAATCCTGAAAGTTCCGCAACTTGATGCTGCTAAAATTGGTGTGCTTGAGTCTGAACAGAAGCTCTGCTGCTTCAGTGATTAAGGAGAGGTATTTCTTAGACTAAAAATACTGTGTTGAACATCAGGAAGTCAAGTTATATCAGTTTAATATTAAATTAATGTTCATTCTTACACATCATTATCTCCTACCATAAGCTGTGCAGCTGTTCATGAAATCTGCACCCTGTCTATAGTTTGTGACATGTCTTGACAGATACTTTACCAAAAAACCACCCTGTCTAACGTTGTGGTCATCAATTTAGAATGTTTTATGTTTCCTTGTTAATAAATATACATCTTCCTTTATATATATATATATTCCAGCAGTGTCCCGTGTATGTTCTAATAGTTACCCACATTCAATACTCCTTCATGACCTTTAGGAATGTAAGGGGCAATGAAAATGCACTTGGCACTTGTACATGTCATGGTCCAGTTTAATCTTTTATAATTGAAAGAAGCTGAATGTATAAAAAAAATAGTGCAATTTTTTTATTATTCTGGAAAATGCTGTTCAGATTCTATGTGCTGGAAAGATCATCTTTTACTGCTCTATAGAGGACTGTCTTCGGTCACATTGTTGGGGGTGTTGAGGTTCTTCTGACACAGGAAGATGACCACAGTCCTAGAATTAGTAGCAATCCTCCCTGGGTTCCTGTATGCCTTCAATTTTTCCAACTTATATGTGCACTGTTTTTTAAACTTTAAATGTTGTCCTCCTGGTAGATTACTGGATGCAGATCCCAGTCAGTGGAATTACTCTTGGCTGGGAACTAGAGAGAAACAGACTGATGAAGATATGTAAACTTTTCTAAAAAACCCAGAGATATGACTTTTAACCTGCACAGTTGGTTCCATACTGAAAACAGTCTCTTTGAAAGCTTACATGAAGATGACATGTGAATATGAGAGAACTGCTTTTTCTAGGATGCCAAATCCAGCAGGTTTTGGAAATTATACTACTCTTTGCCTGGAGACTGATTACTCTGAAAAGTATACTTAGAGGCAATTTGGAATTCTTGCTCTGGGAATCATGGCATTTTCTACCTGCAGTCTCCTGTTTTCTCCTCTCCAAGAGCTCTAGAGAAAAAGAAAAACAGCATTTATTTGGAGAAATTGTTTCCCCCTGCTGTGTAAATTAACTTCACCAGTTAGAAATTAGTATCTTTATTAGTATCTGAAGTTCATCACTGTTGAAAAGCTTTGTTTCTGTTTGTTTTTGGCTTCATTTCTAGTAGGAGAATAGTGAAATAGAAGTTTGTTTTTAGGGATTATACTTCCTTGTTCTCCCTGACCTGTCATAATTGTGTAAGGATTGAGACAAATTTTCTTCTTTCTGTTCTTGGAATGGGATCAGCAGCAATATAACTGATAACAAAATGGCATTGGCTCTGGCTCTGGAATCAGGACCATTCTTATGAGAAGAAATGGTCATTTATTCAGGGGATGAGCCAGTACCAACAGCAGTGATGTATTTTTCTACATAGACAAATGAACTGTGAAGTGAAGGTTCGTTAAGCAAAGGATATTGAGTATGCAGAAAACTGTGAAAGTTATCAAATACAACGTAGATGAGCAGGAACTGAAAGGGATTTAGAAAAGTGTTGGCATCATAGAGCCAATAGCTTTTCAGAAGCAAATATTTGTCAGTGGTTTGAAAGTATTTTTATTGCATTCTTAATCTCTAAATATTTCTTAGTAACCTCTTACCTATTGTAAAGTTGCAGGGTCAGCAACTTTCAAGTGTAGCATCAGCCTGGTTCCCAGAGTGGGAACAGGGACCTGCCAGGAAGGGTAATGACTAGTGGGAATAAGGACAGTGGAATTTGGCCCTAAATTAATGCCTCTTGTAGCCTTGAGGGTTTGTGTGCATTGCTAGCCTAAGCTATTGCTTCTCAAGGCCTGTTTTGTATATTGATTGCAAAGATTTGTTTTAAATCTCCTCTGATAGCCATCATAAATCACTGCCTTAGCTTTTAATTATTGTCTCGGCCGCTGGTTTTCTGAATTATATTCAGTGTCAGTAGTTTGGGAGCTTTAGTCTGAATTCCAAAAAGTCACATTTAAATATAAGGTGTCTCAGGTTCAGTTGATCTGAGAAATGAAAATTCTGAGAGGATGTAAGAAAATTCAGCTGATATTTTAGTGAGAGGGTGTCAGAGAGAGACTAAAAAAAAGAGAATGAAATAGTTCAAGTTATGTATGGACTGATACATTCCCTTCAGATCATGAGGCACAATTTCTTCCTAATGTAATTTTTAACTTTTTTTTTCTTCATTTCTCAAGGGAGACATTTTTTCTGGCAAAAATTAAAAAAGAAATGGTATAGTGCTCTTACTCCGTAATATTCATTTGGCTCAATTAGCATGAATTTTGAGTATATAATTTGCATTTAAAAAAGATAAAAGATTAGCTTTTACATGTATTTTCCTTAACAAAGTCTCAAAGTCCTACAAAATAGTTTTGCAGCTACAGTTTAAAGTTTAGCTTAGAGCTTTGTTAGAAAATCAGGGGAGGGTTTGAGGTCTAACAAAAACATTAATGAAAACACAGATAAATTGTTGAAGGTGTATTTTTACTGATAGAGTATACAAATTTGTTTTGTTCTCTTTGATTTTTAAGAAATGATCTAGGCTCAGGTAATAGTAGAGTTAAAGTACAGAATTTAACATAAGAGAAACATTCCTTTTTGGGATGAAAATGAGGAACCTGATTTATAGCTTTTAGCATGCTCTAACAGTATCTTGACAATATTCTGTATTTGGAGAGTCCTGGGAGATAACGCCACAAGCATTCTGGGGTCACACTCTCTGACAGTGCCATGAACACAAATGGTCACTGTAGGCTGAACAGAATGGGGGAGGTTGTATATTTGATGCTCTGTGCACACTGTGGCATATAAGGCTTTGTTATGGGAAAACAGGGAACACACCTTATATACATAGCAACTAATTTATAGTTAATCTAGTGAAAGAATGATTACTAATCCAGATCTACTTATTGTAGAAGACAAATAAAGAAAAGAAAGCAATCTCAGGAAAGTTTTCTAATAATGAAAGGGTTCCAACTGTTGCATGCTCCTGAGTACCCACCCTCTTCTCTCCAGTGTGTTATGGTTGTCCTTCCATGGCTCCCAAGCCTGAGCACTCCCCTTCCTGAAGGACGAGAAAGGTGCTACATGAGCCATCTGCAACCTCTGGTTCTTCAGTAAGAGGAGAATTTTGATTTTGGGTGTTTCCTCTACTTTGCTCCTGAGCTTCCTAACTTAAATAGGAGAGTCATTTGCCTTTTTTTTTTTCTTTGGGGGTTCCCAATTTCACCTGATGCACAGTTTTTTGTATGTGCTCTTTGTTCACATTACTGTCTGTAAGCCAGGTCCACGGTCACGTTCCCTCTGTGACAGCAATTAACTATTTGTGATTATATCCCTGGGGCCTCTGGTATCATCCTCTGCCTTTACTTGAAGGCCTCTGCCATTATCTCATGACTGCCAATAGTTTTGAGAGCAGTTTTGGATATCTTATGAGTGACTTGGGGATACTTCATCAGAGGTTGATGTTAAATTTAGAGCATGGCCATAGCATTTAGCATATGGTTCTTTCCTTTACACTCTGGTACTCATCTTACCTTCTAGAAGCTATTTAATTTATAATTCAGGAGTTTCTCTAGTGAAATAAGTAACTCTCTCACCTCCAAACCCAGCCAAAACAATAAATCTAAAACTAATGGTATAATGCTTGAATCAAGTAGTGCAGAACAGCTGCAAAACTCCCTTATAATTGGTCCTGGTGATTCTCTTTCCTGGAGATTATCTACCACATGTATAAAACGTGTGCCTGTATTTCCATTGCCACTGCCAGTTCTTGGCAGGTCTGGTTTTCTGTATATCAAATTAATGATCTGAGATTTCCTTCATAATAGTTATTTCGGCAATTTCCTTTTATCTGTTATTTTCATTCCAAATAATTTATTAAACTGATGTTCATATTCAAAACATTGGCTACAACAAGCAAAATACTGAGCAGCTCGTGTTACCTGCAGCTGAATTCCATGTTTATGCAAAATAACAGAATATTAGAGTAGTTGTCAGTAATCAGTTGTCTGCAATGCAATGTGATAACGTTTTAATAAAGGGACTCTTTCCCTAATTCAGGATAGCAAATCAATCTTTAATGTTTATTTCTTCTAAGCTAATATGTGAGATTGCAGTAGGCAATTTTTAGTTGATATCTCTCTTACTCCACGGGGAAAAAGTTACGGAGAAAACAGCAAATCTGAGAAAAATATTTATAAACTGTCATACATAAGAGGAGCTGTTATATATAAGATGCCTCATGTTTTTATAAAGCAAAATATCTACTTGGAAAAGTAATAATTACAGAAACAAAGAGGAGTATGAAACAACCCTTTTAACATTGGGGGTTAGGCTTAGAAAACACTTTCGTACCTGTCACAGTTGACACTAATACAGAGTTGTAGTCTCAGGATTCTCTGATCTGCTGAAAGAGAGAATTATACTCATTTTAAACCCAGCTTTAAAGTAGCTCACTTCAA